GGAATCAATACATATATCAGTGTTAATTGCATTATTATGACTATAGAATGTATTGCTCGCTGCTGTCCTAGCAACTTGTGTGGTTTCACGTATGGGGCTACCAAGCTTCCTGTTCCTGCAGTGAGTCACCCCTCCCCTTGGGCTTGAGTTTTTGCACACCAGTTGTTCTGAGCAGGACAAGTTGACCCCACATCTGTCACTCAGCTATCATCTTGGGTCTTCTTTTTTAAGTTTTCTGTGTTATATTCCCCTTGCACTGTGGGATTTTTTTTTATTTCTTTATTTATCTTCTCATTTTGTCAGAATTTAGAAATTGCTAGTAAAAGCAAGTGGGAGGTGGGTGCTCTTCATTTTTGAGTCCTTTGGAAACATCTGCGGCATCCTGTTGGTAGTGGGCAAGTTAGCTAGCTGTAGGAATAAACAGAAAGCTGGAAAAAGTTTATTATCCATTGTGAGGTTGAAGAGGAGCTAATGTACTCAATCAGAGGCTGCTCCCCCTTTTGTTCTTAAGCTTTTTTAGGTCTTATGTGGATCTATAACGTTGGGCACCACTTTGCAATCAGAAGCTGCTCGTTTGTTTCTCAGCTGCCCAGACCTGAATAGTCACACAGAAACTATATTAATTACAACACTGTTTGGTTAAGAGCTTAGGTGTATTCCTAGCTTAAATGAACCCATTTCTATTAATCTATGTATCACCACAAGGCTGCGGCCTACCGGTTAGGTTCTGGCATCTGTCGTCTTTGGCAGCTACATGGCGTCTCTTTGACTCTGCCTATTCTCTTTATATCTCTTCCAACCTGGCCATATTCTGCCTTGCCAAAGGCCAAAGCAGCTTTATTCATTAACCAATAAAAGCAACACATATACAGAAGGACACCCCACACCAAGCTATTGCCTTATAGTTCTGAGTAGTAGTTGAGGAGCTCAGTATTATTCCATTTTCCCCTGAAGAACCTCGGCTCCTTTCTTTTTCTGAAAGTTTATAGTACTTTTTCTCTGCCTCTGAGTTCTTATGTCAGGTTGATAAGCTTTGCTGATGGTTTCTTTTTAGACATTGGATTGCCACCAGGTGGTCCTTTTGACTTAAAGTAGCTCTTCGGGTGCTAGTCAGTGTTCTTAGATCATCATCATCATAGATGTTATTTTTATTTGTGTGTGTGCCGGTGTGTGTGTGGTGTATAAACGTGTTTGCCTGTGTGTGCGCACACAGAAGCCAGAAGAGAACTCTAGAGTGTTCTATTCCATCACTGACTGAATTTGGAGCTAGACTGGTAGCCACTGGTTTCCAGGGATCCCCTTTTCTCCACCCTGCCTCCCAGCACTGGGCTTACAGGCATACACGTACCACGGCCAGCTTTCTACGTGGAGGTTGGGGATTTGAACTTGTGTGTCCGTGCTTGTACAGCCGGCGTCCTTATCCACTGAGCCATCCCCAGCCCTCACAGAGTTCTTGTGCTATAACTGATCCTTTTCTTGCTTCAGCTTTTCCTGCCCTCCCCCTTGGGATCATTTTAGATCACTGTTTTTCAACATTTCCAATGTTGCGACTCTTTAATATAGTTCCTTTGTTGTGATGACCCCCAACCACAAAATTATTTTTGTTGCTTTTATGAATATGATGCAAGTTGGGGCCTTGGTGGGTGAGCTTAAATGTGGAGTTGCGATAAAGGGAATGGGGGAGGAACAAGAGAACGGGAGAGAGACAGACAGAAAGGGGAAGAGAAGGACAGAACACTGCCTCCTCAAAGAAATGGCAGAAAGGAAGAGAGCAGGAGTAGACAGGACTTGTCTCTGAAAGGGACCTTTTGTACCTGTAAACAGATTAGGACCCTGGGTTCTGCCTGGGTGCATCCTCCCGGATGACAGGCCAGACCAGCATAGTGCCTGAATCCTAACAGTTGCTATTCTGTAACTCTACTTTTGCTGTTGTTATGAGTCGTAATGTAAATATCTGACACGCGGGATGTCTAATATGTGACCCCATAAAAAAGTTGTTGAACCCAGAGGGTCATGGCCCCCAAATTGAGAAACATTGTTTAGATCCTGATATTCACACACACACACACACACACACACACACACACACACACACACACACATATGTGTGTGTATATATATATATTTATTTCTTTATTAGAGATTTCTGTCTTCCCCACCGCTGCCTCCCCTTTCACTCCCCTTCCCCCAATCAAGTACCCCTCCCTCGTCAGCCCAAAGAGCAATCAGGGTTCCCTGCTCCGTGGGAAGTCCAAGGACCACCCACCTCCATCCAGGTCTAGTAAGGTGAGCATCCAAGCTGCCTAGGCTCCCACAAAGCCAATACGTGTTCCCACATCTTTTTATACTTGTTTGTCATTGTTAATGTTTTTCATGTGTGTGTGAGAGTACATGCACATGTATGTGGAGGCCAGAAGTCAGCCTCAGGTGTTGCTCAGGATCTCTGAGTGAAATCTAGTGTTCTCTATCTAGGCTCAACTGGCTGGCTGGCTGACTAGCGATCCCCGGGGAGCCACTTGCCTCCACCTCCCCAACATTCTAAGCATATGCCACTGTGCCTAGCCAGTTAAAGTGCTTTTGCAGAAAGCACTTTATTGGCTAAAACCTCTCCCTGGCTCCTGTTGTTTGCTTGCTTGCTTATTTTCAGGATAAGATCGCACCTCAGACTCACTATATACCTAGGCCCTTGGCCTCCAGAACCCCCTGCCTCTGCTGCTGAGAGCTGGGATTACAAGCGTGGCTCACTACAGCCAGCTTTCTGTTTGTTGCTCTTTATCTCTGAATTTCCCCAGACTTGCTTTTCTAACCTTTCTCTTAAATGTCGTGCTTTGTTTTTCATTCTCTTTGTACACGCACGTATTTGCTACTGATCTCTTGAAATTTGAGACTTTAATCTCTTCTGTTTTCAGTTTCTGAACACAGCTTATTGCTTTCTTACTGTTCTGTGTGTACAGAGTTTTCTTTTGGTTTTGTGTTATGGGTAGCTGCCTCTCTGTGTCTCTGAGCATACTAATTGTACTCTCTCCCTTTACTTCTCCGTGGCTCACTCCCCTCTGAGCCGTCTCTTGTTTTGGTCTCTCCTGCTCTTATTGGAGATCTTGTTCAGATGTCCTGTGATCTTTTGCTGTCTACTTACGTAAGCAGTGCTCAGTCCTTGGGCTCTGTTAGACCACCTCTTTGCCCTTGTGTGAAATCATCTTTGGTAGCGCTGGTCTGTCTTCTCACCTCATCGACCCTTGCCTCAGGCGTGGAGCCCAGCTAGAACTCTTACTCCTTCAGAGCCTTTGGTAAAAGGAAGCATCCAGGTGAAGAGGGTCCCTCAGGGAGCCCTGAACCTGTGCTGACGCCACGCCCTTTGCATCATAGCACTTGTCAGGGAAGCAAGAGGCTCTGGGCTGGGTCCCTTGCTGTGTCATGGTGGCATGCCACTTCCCCTCCTTGGTTGTCAGTTTCTCCATCCGTAACTGGAAAGAAGAGGTGTGGTGGGTAGGAGTAAACTGAGTCACCTCTTAGGGCCCTAATGGCTTACCAGCTGGACCTCATGCTCTGTTACCTACATGCGTAAATCAGGTCCTTAGCATTCCCCTCCCCCAAAGTTTGCATTGCTGACTGGGTGTGTTGCCTAGCCCCAGAGAACCTACCCCAGCTCTTATTATGGTGACTCACTGTGGCTATGGTGACTCACTGTGGCTATGGTGACTGTGTTGACCTATAATACAAGTGAGCAAGCCTTATCTGGGCTCCTTCTTCCAGACAGGAGGGAACAGTAAGCACCTGGTGGTTTTGTTGTTGTAGTGATTTGTTGTAGTCTTAGGGGGTTGATGCTTCTCCTGTCAAAGACGCTGGTCAGGCTGTATGGGCTGGTCGTAGACCTCAGACTGGAAGGGGTCTAGGGGAAGGGAGAGGTGGCTACTGGATAGATTATGCTATTCCTGCTCTTGCAGATCACCACAGACTTCAGCGTGCATTTGTGGTACTATACCCGACATGAAATTGACTGTTTTTACTAAGGTTAGCTGTGTAGTTCAGTAGCATGGAATATTCACTTTGTGTGAAACCACTACCCAAATTCCTCATCGTCCAAGATAACTCCCCATTTAACGGAGCATCCCATTTCCCTCTTGCCCCAGCACCTGTGGACAGCAATATCCTTCTGTCTTTTGAGTGGAATCAGGCAATATTTATCTTTCTGTGGCTGACTTATTTCACTTAACGTGCTGGGTTTAAGTTTATCCGTGTTGTAGCATGCGCCAGGATGTCCTTTCAGAGTGAGTGGCACATTTTCTTTATCTGCTCATCTGTGACACTTGAGTGGTCCCCACCTTTGTACCTAGACTTGTGGGTAACGCTGCTAGATGAGAGTGCGTCCTAAATAACTGTTCAGGGTCTTGCTTTTGTCTGCTGGATCCTATGGTAGTTCTCTGTTTAAATTTTTGGGTTTTTCTTTTCTTTTCTTTTCTTTTTAGGAGCTAATAGGTTTTCTATAACATGTTAATAGGTTTCTCCACCGATGAAGTAAGCCAGATCAGACAGAATTGAAAAAAATAGAAGAACAAGTTTATTTGAGCAAAGCCACTCCTGGGTGAGCCCTCCAGTCCCAGAGATTGGGTTGGAGAGGTCATGTGCTCGAACCAAAATGGGGAGGTTATATAGCCTGTAGGCAAGGTGGTGATGATGTGTCTGCCACAAGCTGGGTTTGTGGCCAAGTATGATCAAAAGCTGACCACTTTAGGTGGGATCTTGGGCTGCTGGCAGCCTCAGGCGAGGAGCTGCATGGCTGCCAAGAATGCGGAACTGGGCTTTTTGGCTGTTTGGACAGAGAGGAATGGGGCTTTCTGGATGAGGCAGGAGTGAACGGGAGGCTTAGTCTAGTATTATAGCTGTCATGGAGGGACACTCAAGGTGTATACAGGGTTGTGCCTTAACTGGGAGTGATCTGTTTGCTTGTTGTCTCTGGCCCTGGTGGCTGTCCATGTTCTTTGTGGCCCATTCCTCTACAGGTGGAACAGTTGTCTGCTTGGTGTTGTCTTCCTGTTTTTACTCTGTCGTAGAAGGGAAAGAGTGTCTAATTTCAAGTGCCTGCAGTTGGATTGATCTCACCCAGGTAAGCCATCAGAGTGCTGCATTCATCCGGCTGGTAATCTCAGTCATATTGGACCAGCTCTTACCATAGGCAGTTCTGAGACATTGGGGCTGGGTACTGTATCTGGGACATTTTGGAGGATGATGATGGTCTTGTCTCAGGCTTTGGAATGCTGTTTTCTGTACTCCTTTGATTGACCAGTGGTGTCCTAAGGCCCTGTGACCCTGAAGGCTGGTCCCATCACTGTATGGGTCAGCTGATAAATAGGTGCATATAGAAGTTTGGTGAGCTTAAGAGTTTTGATCCTTTATTCCTTGCCTGTCTGTCATAGCCTATCTTCTGTGGTCACCTGGAGACACCAGTACTAAGGGAGTTGATCTCAGTCTGCTCAGTTTAGCTCCTGCTGAATGTGGGGTCAAGCAGAGATTCCCATGGTCCTGTCCCTCCTAAGTTGTTAGAAGGATTGCATGGCACAGAGGCAGTAACTGGGCACTGCAGGGTTTGGTGTGCAGAAGCATCTCAAGCTCAAGGGGCTTTCCCCGGGCTAGAGAGACCTTGGGGGGCTCAAATATTGTCATCGGTCCATGATGACCAGCTAGTCCCTTTGGTTAGGGATTTTCTCTTAGACAAGCCTTTCCGCCAATGCAAATAATCCCAGTCAGACCGAATAAGACCAAATTAAAAGATGCCCATGTTTAATGGAGTGCTCCCGGGTAGCTGGGAAAACAAGGAGAGGGGAAGAGAGAGAGAGAAGGGGAGACCACATGAAACCCGGAGACCACGTGTTCATTCTCTGGGGGGCGTGGTCTTGACCTTCCCTGGGGAGGGGTCACCATTTGGCAGGCTTTCTCAGAAGTGGAGTTTGGACTGAGGCAACTACCAGGGGAGGGAGCTTATGCCAGGAGCTGGGGTGTTTGCCCCCAGGCAAACAATCTAGACTTTTTGAATAAAGGGGTGTTAGGGAGCTGAGGTGATGCTTCCCACCAAACACCTTTGACCATGCTCCCTAGAGAGTCCTGGTAAGACACCGTTTCAGACCCGGGGAGTAACTGATCATGGGAGGTGGTGGCACAGAAGCAAAGACCTGTACACTGTACTCACAAACACAACTCCATTTTGGTGTGGGAGAATATGTATGACTCCCCCACCATGTATGTGTGTGTGTGTATACACATGTATGTTCAAGTGCCCAGAGTCCCTAAGGGTATGTGTTTGGGTAAGGCAGGTGTTGGATCTACCCACTGGAGCGGGAGTTATGGATAGTTGTGATGCTGGAATCTGAATTCTGTCCCAGTGTTCTTCACTACTTGAGCCATCCTTCCAGCCCTGTGTATCTGTTTCTTAAGTTTTACCTTGGGCTGCTTGATCTGGGTCCCTGGTCCGCTTCCCAGACAAGTGCCTTCAAGTGTCACGTGCTCCCACTTTCCATAAGATGATCCAGCACCCAAGTTCTGTGTTTGGCATAGGAACCCAGGGTTAACATGTAGTTTTATAGTGAGTGAGTGGAGAGAGAGATATATCATACATTTAAAGTTGATAGCACTTAAAAATTAGACAGGAAATAGTTTACAATGTCTGTAGTTTTCTTAAAGAAACAAACGGAGTGGATAGGGTCTAGATCAATAGTTCTCAACCTTTCTAATGCTGTGGCCCTTTTATACAGATTCCTCATGTATGGTGACCTCAACCATAAAGTCGTTTTCTTTGTTACGTCATAGCTGTAATTTTGTTGCTATTACGAATCGTAATATTAATATCTGATATGCAGGATGTATTTTCATTGTTACAAATTGATCCAAAAGGGTCGTGACCCATAGGCTAAGAATCCCTGGTCCAGATGAATTAAGATTGACCTTGAAGCAGTGCTTTGATAGTTGAAGGTTTACAGCCCTATTCAGCTTATATAAACTCTCCCTGTCAATCATTGATCATCAGTGCCTCCATCTTATGAGTCATTCCTTGGATTTGGGTTGTTTACATGGTGTACTAGGCCACCTGCTCTGCTGACTCTGAGTGCGTGATGGTAGGGATTAGTCATATGGGGCTTCCCTCTTCCCCTCACAGCCAACAGCCTTGACCTGAAAACTGGGTTCAGTAGAGGGAAGGAAGTTCTGAGACATTAAAGATCTGGGAACCTCTGACTCCAGTTCAAAACCTGTTCCTTGTGCTGTCTCTCCTGTCTGTTGGGAGAAAGCTCTTAAAGCAGGTTATCAATGACAAAGCCACCTGGAGCCATATCCTGGCTCCCTAGTGATGTGCTCTAGTGACAAAACCCAGGGCAGTGGGAGCTAGATAAGTATCCACCTCTGTCTAGTAACCTAGGACAGGTGAGCTCCAGGACTTATGTGTGCACGCACACACACATGCATGAATAAATAATAAAAATTAAATATGTAAATAAAATTTTAAAAAGAAAGGGAAAAAAGCGTTTGAGGTCAGTCTGGGCTATATAACAAGATCGTGTGCGTGTGCGTGTGCGTGTGCGTGTGTGTGTGTGTGTGTGTGTGTGTGTGTGTGAAAGAGAGAGAGAGAGAGAATATGAAAGAAAGAAAATATTTTACCTGTTTTCTTTTGGTATGTGTGTGTGTTTTTTTCAAGACTGGGTTTGTCTCTGTAGCTCTGGCTGTCCTGGAACTCACTCTGTAGACCAGGGTGGCCTCTAACTCTGAGATCCCCTGCCTCTGCTTCCTGTGTGCTGGGATTTAGGACATGTCCCACTATACCGCCTGAATGTTTACTTATTTTCAAACATTTGTATATCATTTGTATATGTGAATCAAATACATGTGTGTATATATTTTCATCTATGTATGCAGATGCTTTGTAAATATATGTACACGTGTATTGTGTATGTCTTAGGTTGCATGTTAGAATGCTTGGTGGTTACTGTTAGGGGAGGGGATAGTGGCCTTCTATTTGTTCTGATTTTTCTCCTTCAACCTGCTTGTATTCTTTTTTTTGTTGTTATTTATTTATTGAGACAGGGTTTCTCTGTAGCTTTGGAGTCTGTCCTGGAACTGGTTCTTGTAGAGTGGGCTGGCCTCGAACCCACAGAGATCCGCCTGCCTCTGCCTCCCGGGTGCTGGGATTAAAGGTGTGCGCCACCACCACCAGTGTATTGAAATAAAATTTATGCAATTTTGGTTTTTTTTTTTTTGAAACCGTTTCTTCCTCTTTCGCCTAGGCTGGCCGTAAACTCATGATCATCCTCCTGCAGCATCCCCACTTCTCCCAGTGGTAGGATTACAAGCAGGCACCAGCACACCCAGTTTATACAGTGCTACTGTCACAGAAGCAAACACTCTGCCAGCTGAGCTGCAGTCCCAGCCCGGCTCATTGCTGTTTTGATGTCAGTAATACTCAGTTCTCTTGGTGTGTGACTGGGGTTTATCCATTCATCTGCTGAACCACATTTTGGTTCCTGTGAGGGCGGGTAGTCGGGGGTAACACTGCTGCTGCATTTAGCTCTGAGACACAACCTCCCCCCCCCTCCCCGTGTACAGGAGGTAGGTGGGATATACCTTGGTGGGGCACCCTTGGAAGGTGTATTGGAAATCTAACCCTTCCTCTTTGTCTCCTGTCCCCATCACTCTTTCTCACTGGATCTCCTGAAACAGCATGTCAAATGAACCTTTCTTCCTTCTAAGTTGTTTAACTCAGACATTTTGTTACAGTGACAAAAGACTGGCTCATTACATCCATCCTGTAATTTTTCATCTCACGTGGACCAATACCAAGATCGTGGTGGTTGTTGGTTTCATAAAATAGGTTTAGTTTTGTAAGAAACTGCTAAGATCTCTTTCAAAGTTGTTGTGCTATTTAGCATTCCCCGCAGCAGTGAGGAAGCTGTCGTCCATACCCCCCGTGTTTGGTGGGTCACTGTTCTGGACCTGGCCATTCTAATAGCTGTGCAGTTTGCTGTTTCCGTATACAGTGGCACACTGAGGGTCTTTCCTTGTACTGTCATCTCTGCATACCCTTTGGTGAGCTGCCTTCTGAGGTCTTGTGCTATATTTTTATAAGTCCCTTGATCGGATGTATCTTTTAGGAATACATTCAGTCATTCTGTAGGGTTTTTTTTTCCCCTTCTTTATCTGAAACAGGCTCTTGTTTGTTTGTTTGCTCAGACTGGCCTTAAATCCTTGTCCATAAGGGATTCATCCTCCTACCTCAACCTCCTGAGCAGTTGAGATTACAGGGTGTATCACCATGTCTGGCTTTCTTCCTTTTACTTAGGAAAAAAGGTCAGCAAAGATGGTCAGAGCTGTGTGGTTTAAACTGTGTATTTGTGTTGTGTGAGAGCAAGAGACCCTTTAACCAACAACCTGAGAAAGTACAGTGGCAGACCCTCGCCTGGGAACATCAGGCCTGACTTGTCTGCTTCTGAGTGCCAAGGGCTGTTAGGCCCTGGAGTACTTCTCCAGACTCTGCCTGTGAGCATCAGCCAGGGGTGGTTTCTATTCTACATGAGGAGAGGCTACTTCTGGACCGGTGCTTTAGGCCTGGTACCACTACCACTCCTTTTCAGTGTGCCTAGAAACCAGGCTGGACACTGGAGGGCCTGTATCCACCTCTTCCTGTTAGCGTGGAAAGCACAAGGCTCTGCAATGTGGTGGGGCGGAGACTGAGTCTGGGGAGAGGAACTCTGTTCTGGAACACTTTCCCTTTTGTCCTCTCTCCAGATTTCTGCTTATGTGGTAGGGACCCTTGAAGTATTCATGACTTTAGGGAATAAGCCCTTTCACAGTCCCAAAGAAGCCCTCCCCCCAGTTTCTTTATTGGTTTGGTTCTAAGGGTTGCTGGTTCTCAGGATCCAGGTTCCCCCTGGGGTGCTCATGTGTGAAGGAGCAGTCCTGCACTCAGCGGGGGCCCAGCAGTCTTAAGTTTTAACGTGTTCCACAAAGGTCTGTTTTGGAAACACTTTGTGCTGGTTAGTTTTATGTCTACTTGACACAAGCTGGAGTCACCAGAGAGGAGCCTCAATTGAGAAAATGCCTCAATAAGGTCGGGCTGTAGGCAAGCCTGCGGGGCATTTTCTTGATTAGTGACTGATGGGTGAGGGCCTAGCCCATTGTGGGTGGGCCAATCCCTGCGCTGGTGGTCCTGGGTTCTACAAGAAAGCAGGCTGAGCAAGCCATGGGTAGCAAGCCAGTAAGCAGCACCCCTCCATGGCCTCTGCATCAACCCTTGCCTCTAGGTTCCTGTCCCGTATGAGTTCCTATCCTGATTTCCTTCCATGATGAATGGTGATAGGGAAGTATAAGCCGAAATAAACCCTTTCCTCCTAAGTTACTTGTCATGGTGATTATCACAGCAGTAGAAACTCTAGCTAAGACACATGTGTTTAAGCTGGAGAGGGCTGCAGCTGGATGAATCTACCCAGCCGTATTTACATAGTCCCAGTGAGGAAGGAATGGTGATGTTTTTGCTGTAACGTCCCTAAGAGGGTCAGAACCAGAGGCTACATGTTCTTTGTAGGCAGGGTTATTAGAATCAGGGCCAGGTGTCTGTCCTTCGCAGAAGGCAGGAGGCGTTCCATTTTTGAGTGCCATGGTCAGATGTAGGCATGTGGGACAGGACATGTCTGGCTGTCCAAATCTCTTCAGCCATGGGAAGTATCTCTCACCAACGCATCCTTCTTCTCTGTTGAAGGATAAAGTAGAAGAAAGGCTTTGGTCAGATGGAAGGTAGCAGGTAGCTCACCGCATTCCCGTTTGTCATGGAGAGCTAGAGCTGAGAAGGGTGGTACGGTCCCTTGGGAGCTCACTAGAGCCCCAGGGTCTCGCCTCCGAGCAGGTGACTCCTGCCTGGGAATTAGTAGGCAGGTGAGCTGCAGGGTGTTACACACGTGTGTTAATTACTCACTGGAGTGAGTACAATATCTGAGAGAAAATTTGAGAGAGGGAATGTTTAGGCTGTCATGGTGGAGAAGGCATGGCGATATTGACGTGGGATGCAGGGGTTCCTCACATCACTGTAGACTAGGAAGTCAAGAAAGCAGGACAGGAAATTGCATGGAGCTAGCTAACCCAAAGACTATCCCTATTGGCCTACTTCCTTCAGCAGCTCTACCTCCTGGTTTCTACAGCCTTTCGAAATATCACACCAGCTTGAGAACAGGTATTCAAATTCTGAGCCTGGAGGGGACATTTCAGATTTGAGCCATAACAGCATAATAGCTGGCATTTGAACATGGTGGGGATGTGGGCTTAGTGGTAGCAACAGATATCAGCAGAAAATTCAGTATGATAGTTCAAGATTGTCTCTGCTGTTGGCCCATTTTTATCACTTACTTAGAGGAACATAATGCCATGTACACCAGATCAGTGGTTATGAAACAGCTGAGAGAGAGAATTAAGATGGTCACTGTGAGTCACCACAGCCAGAGATTGAGGAAGGATGGGAAAACGGGCAGACCCACAAGAGAAATTTCGTAGGAATCCCTGCTGTCTCGATCACCCAGAAAACCCACATGTTCCCATCCAGTGAGCAGGAAACTCCAATTGCAGGCAGCAATCCTGTCCTGTGATCTCTGGACTAGTCCGTGGTTTTAAGTCCTGACAAGCCTCAGAGGGAAAGAGAAGAAGGAGCATGCTCAAACAATTCCAGGTGAAAAAGGAATCTTTGGAGAAGGAAAGGCTGCAGAGTTTTGTGGGAGGGAAGGGGCCAGGGTCATGGCAGGACTGAGTTCTGCAGTGGAATTAACCATAGATAGAATGGGCCTTGAGGGTAGGCTTCTTTCCAGGTGACAGATGCTACTCCTGCCAGGAAACTCCCCGAAAGCTCTTCCAGGAGGGGGAGGGCTATCCTCCCATGTCCTGGATGTCTGAGCTGAATGAACCCTGTGTGCATTATTTTTATTTTGAAAGAGCCATTAAGGGGTAGCTTCGTGTGTGGTTAGACATAAATGCCTGTCTGAATTGAACCTTTTTTTAAAAGTTGCTTTTATTAGGCAACCATGAATGTGTAGGGTCTGCCCATGGAAAGTGAGCTTCACCTCCAGCCTGTTTTTCTTTCAGAGGCAACTAGCATTCCTCGGTGCCTTGTGTACAGTGCCAAGGGAGGTCTGTGCATATGTGTACCCACACCTCTTGGTTTGCATGTTTCTACTTTAAAAATGAAAAAGATTGTATGCTGGAGAGATGGCTCAGTGGTTAAGATCACTAGCTGCTCTTGTAGAGGGCCTGAGTTCAATTTCCAATACCCACACAGTGACTCATAGCTGCCTGTAACCCTATTCTAGAGTATCTAATACCCTTCTCTGACCTCCATAGGGACTAGGCACACACATGGCAAAACAGACATCAAAACATTCATACAATAAAAATAATAAAGATAATTTTAAAAAATGGAAAAGATTTCTGTGTGTGTACGTGTGTACATGCACACACGTGCATGTTTCTGTACAGGTGTCCATGGAGGTCAAAAGGTGCAGCTGGAGGCAGTTGTGAGTGGCCCCACATACGTGTTAGGAACCACACATGCATAGGAGTTTAGAAAGACAAAGCTGTGTAAAGGACAGGCTACCAGTTCTAGTTCCATCCATGGCCATGAAGGCATCACCTCATTGTCTACTGTCCCCTCTGGACCCAGTGACCAAAGTAAGTGGGCTGAAAGCCAGGTTCACTTTGTGGGGGCTAGTGGTACCCTAGAAAAATTCTGTAACGTCCTTGGGACAACATACTCAGTTCTTCAAGGTAGACACGCTGGGTAACTAGACTGTTTTAAGTGAACAGTCTCTAGACAGTTGTTAAGGTGGGGATCCCAGATCTTCAAGGTAGGCACGCTGGGTAACTAGACTATTTTAAGTGAACAGTCTCTAGACAGTTATTAAGGTGGGGATCCCAGATCCAATACCATCACCTGGGAACTTACTCAGAATAGAGACTGATGGTGGAACCCATGATATTTTACAATCCCTTGGCATAATTCAGATGCCAATGTATGAGAACAGAGTGGCTCTCCTAGAACCTGTGGACATGACTGTCGAGGCCGTGAATTTCCTCATGTGCCCTTGCCCTGAACCTTTGAGCTTATTGCTGCAGCAGCTGTTTGTGGCAAGAGCAGGCAGGTTGTGGGGCTGTGCTGATCTCTGTTCCTCCTGGGCATTTTAATTGACATGGGGCGATGCTGAAGACCTGTGTACAGAGGACTGTGGGAGCAGGTGTCCCATCTGCTTCTCTTACTGCCTCATCTCCATGTAACTCTCTTTGGGCTTCGATACTTGCTCTGATTCACTGCTCTGCAGCAGTCAGGCCTTTCTGAGCATATCTCTTGGTTCTGAATGATGACTCCTACATAACCGTGTTGTTTTTGTTAGAGAATGGAATGCCCAGGAGAGGCATCGATCAGCCATTTTCAGACTGTGCAGCAGCTGCTCTATACTTGCGGTTTGGGTCTGATCCTGGGACTGGGAAGAGGGGTGGTTTGCTGTGGCAAGCTTGAGAGTTGTAGATGGGGTGCAGAAAAATGGGGTTCTCCCCTGCTGTGGGAAGGACAGTGATAAGGACAAGAAAGATGAGACAGGAAGACATGGAGCCTGAGGCAGTGCTCTATCTAGAATATGATTATCAGAGCAGACCAGGCCTGGGGGAGCAGCTGTCAAGGAACCTAGCTGGCTTGTGGGATTGTACCCTCCTGAATCCTTGGGGTGGGCCTGACCTAACTGGAGGTCCAGTAGAGAAGTGTGGACTGGATTGCACTGGTGCACGGGGGAGTTAATCCCTCCTGTAGGGGCCTGGCAGGGGGTTGTGTTCCAAGAAGCAGATCCCAACAGGCCTTGTGAGGAGCATGCTCATTGTAATCTGAATACACTTTCCCTTCTTTTCCAGGTTTAACCATGAGCTACCCAGGCTACCCCCCACCTGCAGGTGGTTACCCTCCAGCTGCTCCAGGTAAGAGGACCTGGGTGGATCCTTTGTGCAAAAAGATGGAGTCTGGTTCTCTTAGGCCGCAGAGGGGTCACCCATTGGGACAGGGGCTCGAGAGGTCTGGATTTGGCTGGTTCTGGGAGGGCCTTATTAGCCAAGAAAGGCCTGCCACACTCTGAGACTCTTTCTCCTTTGCAAAGTAGCTTCAAGGTTCTTTTCCTCCCCTGGCTGTACTGACAAGCCTGTAGGAGTGCCCACCAAAGTACTGCTTCTAGCCACCTACCCTGTTTCAAGGAGTATGGTTTTGGATTCTCTCCTGCTGAGGCCAATACCAAGGGTTGCTTCACTGTCTCTTCCTGTCTGTCCCTCCCTGTAGCTACCGAGAGCCATGGTGATAAGGTGAGACTAGTCACATAGGGCGGCTGCAGGGCTTATCTTCCTTCTGAAACCGTCCCTTCCCCAGCAGAAATTCTGCTGTTGTGACGGCACGCTCCCGGGATTAGAAAGCCCTGGGTGAGACCACATTTCTGGCTCAGCCCTTACCTCAGCAGCCTGACATCACGCTTGTCATCGGCTCCTGTTGTCTGCGAATAAGAGAGTGGTTGAGCGCCTTGCCCAGGATGCACAGCCAGCCAGCTCCTTGCTGCTGTCTTTTATGGTGTCCGTGCCCTCTGACATGGCCCTGTTTCCCTCCATCTGGGAATCCTTAGCATTCGTGGAGCTCCCTGCTGTCACATGCTCAGCACAGAGCCCAAAGCTGTATCTGTTCTCTCACCCCATGGTGCTGGTTTTGAGAGGACAAAGCTTACTTGGATCCCCACAGAGGGCTGAACCTGCCTTTTTCCCTGGAATAAGGGAAAGTTCCTCTCCTTCCCCTGACCCTCTTGCTCCAGTCTTTCTGGGTATTTATAACATTGGCATGAATCCCTGCTTGACTACCGCAGCATGTTCCTCTGCAGCCCTTTCTGCCCTTTCTTTGGGCCAGGCATGTGAGCTGATGAGTTTGGTGTTGCTTTCAGGTGGCGGTCCCTGGGGAGGGGCTGCCTATCCTCCTCCTCCCAGCATGCCCCCCATCGGACTGGATAACGTGGCCAACTATGCAGGGCAGTTCAACCAGGACTACCTCTCAGGCATGGTGAGTCAGGCCCCTGCCAAGGTACCCTGGGCTAGTGGCTGCGGGGCTATAGAGATCAAGGCTCCAGAGATACCTCATGCCTGTCTATGTGAGCATAGAGTGCTGTGCAGAAACTTAGAATATGAGGGTCATCTGCTTACTGCCCCTTTCCAGGCGTCAATTTTCCATCTATATGTGGGGTAGAGATTCTTTGAGCTGATGGTCTTCTCAGGTCTCTTTGGTTCTGGGAGATTAGGTAAGGCTGGTACCTGCGTGAAATTTCTTGAGAATGTCTCATGAGCTGAGCACGAATCCTGGAGGGAAGAGAGGGTGGTTGTGGAGAGGTATGGGGGTGTTAGACTTACAGATTCTGTTTCGGTTGGGACTTGGCGGCCATGTCGCAGGTAGGTTAGGCTGTACTTGTTTTTATTTGTTGTTTTGCTTTTAGAAGAGCATATTTTTTTTTAAAGATTTATTTATTGTGTACACAATAATCTGCCTGCCTGTATGTTTGCATGCCAAAAGAGGGTACCGGTTCTTGTTATAGATGGTTGTGAGCCTCCATGTAGTTGCTGGGAATTGAACTCAGGACTTCTGGGAGAGCAGCCAGCACTCTTAATCTCTGAGCCCTAGAAGAGTGCATCTTATAATCAGAAAACAAATGTGCCCTTAATGGGAACAGTGCAACTAGTAGACACCCAAATACAGCAAACAAAATCTCTGGGCTGGGAGACAGCCCAGGCAGTCAAGTGCTTATTTTATCAGCCTTAGGCCCAGAGTTCAATTCCTGAAAAAAGCCAGGTGTGGTGGTCCTTGTAATCCTAGTGCTAGGGAGGTGAAGACAGGCAGATCCACTGGGCTTGCTGACTAGCCAGACTAGCCTACATGGTGATCCCAGGGCCAGTGATAGATTCTGTCTCTAACAAGGTAAACAGCATATAGCCTTGACCTCCATGTGTATCTGCACACATGCTTAGCATCTCTGGAAAGGAGACAGAAAATAACTTGTGTTACCAGATGGCGATATTGGAAAGTGACAGGTGTTTCTGAGCATTGTGGCATGCACTTAGCATTCTGTAGGTAAATTCATGAGGACTGAAAAGTTCCAGCCCAGCCTGGGCAACATAGAAAAACCCTGCCTCAAAAGAGAAGAATCAAAAGGAAGAACAGAGAGGGTGGGTAAGAGAAGGGGAGAAAAGAGTAAGAAAGATAGGAAATAGAAACATGGCCCTGATGGCATGGGCCTATGATCTTAGCTTCTTGGAAGGCTAAAGTAGGAGGGTATCAATTTCATGGCCCATTTGAGCTACAGGGTGAGTTCAAGGCCAGCCTGGGCAACATAGTGAGTCATTGTCTCAAAGTAAGAAGTAAAAAGAGATAGGGATATAATGATTAGTGGTAGAGCATTTGCCTATAATGCATGAAGCCATAGATTCAATCCCTAGTACAAGGAGGAGGGGATAGGATATGGTAAAGGGTCAGAGGTGCTGGCGGGGCGGTGTAGACTGAAGACCTTAAAGTGGGAGATGAAAAGGAACTATGAACCAAGATCCAACATGGTAGAGAAATGTGCTATGTGAATGTCTAGGAACAGCCAGGCCTTGAGATGGCCATGGGCCTGCTGAGCTTGGGGACAGTGAAGAATAGGTCTTTGTGGTTGACGAAGGGAAGTGAGGGATGAAGATGGTGGGACCCATTCTGCATTGGGCATCAGAGGCTGAGGTGAAGATTCAGTCTTTTGTTCTGGGCACATGCAAGCCTACCCAAGCCCCACCTACCTCAACTGACTATTAGCAAACTCGTGTGATGGGGCCACCCCATGCCTACAGAAGGGGCCCCTCTACTTTCTGGGTCCTTGAGTGGTTGGCTCTGCCCAGTTAGTCTTAGTTGAAAGAAGCAGCCTCATCTTTCATGTTTCCATTTCCAGAAGGGTTGGAGAGTCTGGTTTACATACAGAGTGATCCATGCCAGAGTCCAGTTGCTCTGCTCACTGAGCAAGTGTACCCATCATCCATGGTGGGACTGCCTTTCTTGTCCCATTGGGGTGGGGATAGGACTGAGCCAGCAGAATGGCGCCTGCATTCATTGCTAGGTGTACATAATGCTGTGGGAGGGGCGGTTCTGGTAGGGGGCTCCTTACACAGAGCTAAACTCCATAAGGGTAGAGAGGCAGGGTACTGGCCTTTCTGGGCCTATGAGTCTCAGGCTCTACTTTGTGTACTTGGCAGGCAAGCAACATGTCTGGGACATTTGGAGGCGCCAACATGCCAAACCTGTATCCTGGAGCTCCTGGGAGTGGCTATCCTCCAGTCCCCCCTGGTGGCTTTGGGCAGCCCCCTCCTGCCCAGCAGCCTGTCCCTCCTTATGGAATGTACCCACCCCCAGGGGGAAACCCACCTTCTGGGATGCCCTCATATCCATCCTACCCAGGGGCCCCTGTGCCAGGCCAACCCATGCCACCCCCGGGGCAGCAAACCCCAGGGGCCTATCCTGGACAGCCTCCAATGACCTATCCTGGACAGTCACCGATGCCACCCCCTGGGCAGCAGCCAGTGCCAAGTTATCCAGGATACTCAGGATCCGGTACTGTTACCCCTGCTGTTCCTCCAGCCCAGGTGAGTGCTTGAGTGCTGTCCAAATTGAGTTCAAAGGATAGACTCTGGTCCAGCCAGCAAGGCCTTGGGGAATTGAAGGCACAAAGGAGAAGCTCAGGCCCCTAGTTACAGCGTACTGTTTTAGCAAAACCATGCTGATTTCTCTTGTGCTCCCCACCCCAGGGCATACTCCTTAAGGTCAGGAAGTACTGCCCTAGTTGTTCGTCGTGTGAGATGACTCCTAAGGCGTCAGTCTCATGGCCTCATGCCCAACAGGCCCATTATGTGGCCCCCTAGACAAATGTAAAGGATTCTCAGAATCCTCTCTGAGTAGAGAAGATTAGCAATTCTGCCAGGGTTTATCTGGGCTCATTCTGGAGAGCAGTGCATGTTTGCGATGCCTAGAATTCACTGTCATGGTTACATGACCAAACCAGCCAAACACGGGGCTAGTGGTGTGTGCTGGCTTACTACTTTTAGACAGGGTCCATTACCTCTCCTTCCTTCCATTCCTCCCCTTGTACTACTGCCCACTCTTTCCTCCTCTGCACTGGTACCCACTCCCTTATCTCTTCTCTGAGCATGTCCTTACTGCCTTGATGACCAGCACATATTAGCCACTAAAAAGATCACTCACTAGGCAACAGTAAGCCTGTGTATAAATACCTGAAGGAAACACACCTTAAAAGGAGGAAGGTTGACTTTGGCTGCTTGGGCCTTGTCACTATGGGCCTGTGTGGGGCAGAACATCATTGTAAGGAGCTGTTGGTAAATCAAAGCTCCTAGCAGATGGGAAGCAAAGAATGAAAGGGGCATGGGCCCAATATCCCCTTCAAGGACCTGTTCCACTCCTAGTGACCTACTGTCTTCCCAGCAACCACTTCTAACAGTAACTGGTTTCTAAACAGCACCATTGACACATGAGCCTTGGAGTATTTATGTCTAGTACTTTTGACTTCGAGTTTCCTTTAGATACCTCAGCTCTTAGAGAAGGGGGCATTATCTGGGGCGTAGGAGGAGGTGGAAGAGTCTTGCACCTTAGGGTGGCATGGGTGGGTCATCTTACCTGTGGCTATTTGTTTGAGTAGTATGGAAACCGAGGCACCATCACAGATGCTTCTGGATTTGACCCCTTGCGAGATGCTGAGGTCCTTCGGAAGGCCATGAAGGGCTTTGGTAAGAGACGAGACTGAGGCAGAGGCAGGCAGATCCCTGGGCAGTTCACTGTGTGGGAGGGGTAGGCAAGCCTGGCCAGGGAGATGAAAGAAGAGCTGTTTTAGATGTCCAGGAGAATGACTGGAGAGCCCATGGCCACACCCTAGAGCATCCTCTTAACCCGCAGCATGCCTGCTCCTTCCTCTGTCTTAGGAACGGATGAACAAGCCATCATCGATTGCCTAGGGAGCCGTTCTAACAAGCAGCGGCAGCAGATCCTCTTGTCCTTCAAGACAGCCTATGGCAAGGTGAGGGGCAGAGGGGAATGCAGGAAGACCACTGAGGCCTGGTTCTCCTAAGCCCAGCTCCAGGGCCTACAACCAGCATAGCTACAGGCCCACTCACTCTGCTTTTCCGGGAACTGGAACCTCACAGGACTAGATCTCCAGGAGGGACAGCAGGCTTAGTTAGGGTTGTTTCATGGTCTAGCTTTGGCTTTGCCTAATCAAGTCTGTAGATAGGTCATTTTTTCCCCCTACCCAGCCTCCATTTCCCCTCCTCTGCTTGCAGGGGACCCAGGAGGTTTAGTTAATGGAAGAGCTTTGGTGGAAAGGCTTAAGGGGCTTGCGTTTTGAGCTCCCCTGGGTTTTGAGTCTTAGGTAAAGTACATTAATATGGAATAAGTCAGTGCTCTTGCTCTGGCTTCTTCCCATGGCTGAACTGAAACTGTCAGCCCCTTCGTCTGCAGTGTTCTGCATCTGTGTATTTTGTTTGTGTGTCCAATCAGGATTTGATCAAAGACCTAAAATCAGAGTTGTCAGGAAACTTTGAGAAGACTATCCTGGCCCTGATGAAGACCCCGGTCCTGTTTGATGTCTGTGAGATAAAGGAAGCCATCAAGGTGTGTCCTTGTGCTTGTGGGTGCCTGCCGTCACGTGTGTGCATAGGACTGAGTGATGTGTTACCTACTCACTAGGTGCTGCCTACCCTGACTTCTGGGCATTCCTGGCTACAGGCCATGAGATTTAGAAGGAGCGCATAGTAGTTTTTTAGAGAGGCAGGTAACATGTTATTCCTCACAGGGACTATCTGTCTCCATCGCCGGAGAGGACCAGGCTGGGGTTATGGAGGATACAGATGACAGAAGGGGTTTAAGGCTGTTGTTGATTATTCTCACTCAGTAGAACCCTTGCTGGCAAATAGCAGCGTGTTTGAGGAGCCAGAGCAGCAGAGAAGAATACCTCCCAGTTAGGGGTGGGAAAGGTAGGGCTGGAACTAGGACACAGACAGACTTCTGCCTTTGTCTCCACTGCTTTCTGAGCACCACCTCACTCTCCTGGCTGCTGGGTCTGTCCTGTGCAGTATCAGAGATGTCTGTCCCTACATCTGCCCCCTCCCAGACATCCAACTCTAGAAGAACCCAAATTCCTCACGGAGCCTTTTCCTGTGACTTAACTTGACTGTCTGTCTTCCTAGGTCTGTGTGGGCTCTACAGCCACTTGGCTGTGTGTCCTGTGAGTAGAGGTGGGTCCCTACATGGCACCCTGATGGAGCTACTCGCTCAGAGGCATGCTGGGCACAACAGATTCCACCTCCGTTAGAGGTTGAGAGCTTTGTATGTGAAATCCAGTGCCTGTTGTAGACTAGAAGGTGCTAAGGACAGACAGGGTGACAGTGGCCTTGGCCTGGGAGTGTTCAGAGCCCACCTCCAGTTTTAGGAGAAGTTGGCGGAATGCTAGAACACAGGTGTGCTGAATAGCTGTTGTGTCCCTGAGCACCGTGAGAGGAGACAGTGGATATTCTTTCAGGACATACAGGGAGATTTGGGTAAGGTGCAAACAAGCCCATCCTTTGTAAGTCAGTAGCATGCCAGCCGTGGTATCATGAAACACCACTTCAGCTAGATGTTCTTCACAAATTAGCCTATTCAGTCCCACTAAGGACTCCTTGGGAGGTAGGCACACATAACACTCCCTTTATAGACAAGAAACTTGCTCAAGGTTACACAGTGAGCTGCAGAGCTAAGATTCAGGCTGATACAAAAGCCAGGCCTCCATCCTGTTTTCTACCTTCCTGCCGTCCTGGGCACAGCCATTCCTTTTGTCCCTTCTGGCTTCTTTTCCTAGATGTCTCCAGACAGTTCGCTCGGGACTCTAGCTTTTTCGTATCCGTTACAATCGTACTTTTGGACTGTGCTTCGGTTCACTATCTCACTCAGGGCCAGAACTTGGCAGAAACACTTTGATGTGCACCTCAGCCTGACTCAGCTGGGTGTGGCGTGGGATTGTCACTGTACACTTCCCCTTTTCTCATTCAGTTTCCTGGTGCGTGGGGATGACCCCACATGTGGTGCTTACTGTGTCCTTATCTCATTTTCTAGGGCTGGGAGGGAAGCTGGCTTCTCAGGCATGAGTGGGGTATGTGTGTCTGTGTTGGGGGGCCTCTGTTGCTGATGCCCTTCTGGATGCTAGTGAGGGCCCAGTCACCAGCAAGAGGTCTGTTATATTCTCTGCTACCATAGGGAGCTGGTACTGATGAGGCCTGCCTGATCGAAATCCTCGCTTCCCGAAGTAATGAACACATCCAGGAACTAAACAGAGCCTACAAAACAGGTTGGAAGCTCCCTGGCCTCTGCTCTTTACAGATGGTTTTGCTTCCGAAGCCTCAGTGTCCTTGGCCTCTTTGTCCCCCCATTTCCTGTCACTGGCCTCTTTGTCCCCTATTTCCTTTCATGCCCAACTCTCTGGGCTTTGATCCAAAGCCTAGCCCTGCACGCTGTTTACATACAGGGCAGGTGCCTGTGGTTGGGAAGGGCGGGGAAAATCTTGTGGGCTTTGGGCCAGGCCTGACCAGAGGTCAGATCAGCCTGGAGTCATAAACTTATATGATCCTAGAAGGTTCGATGGAACACCTGTCGCCTCCAGTCTGAGTGAGACCCATGGACCCTTGTCATGCCAATCCCCCCTCCCTCCCCCTGCTAACTATATCTTTAGAGATAGCAGGCCTGGTGTGTGTCTTTCAGAATTTAAAAAGACTCTGGAGGAGGCCATTCGAAGTGACACATCAGGACACTTCCAGAGGCTCCTCATCTCTCTCTCTCAGGTACCTTCCTCACAATGGGATGTTGGAGAGGAAACTGGAAGGTGGGAGAGGGGGGTGCATCAAAGCACTGGCAGATGAATGAGGAGGGAAGTGTGTGATCTTCCAAAAAGTGGCTTGACCTTACAGCCTCCTTCCTTTCAGGGAAACCGTGATGAGAGCACAAACGTGGACATGTCCCTTGTGCAGAGAGATGTCCAGGTGCGTATGGTGGCCAACAAGGTGCCACTGTGGGCTCTAAACCAGAGTTGGGCTCTAACCACACTTCCTGCTTTGTGGTTAGGTTCTCAGTGGTGGGAAGAGCGGTAGACACTGGTCGGTTCCGTGTTTCTGAGGGGCTCAGATACTTGAACAGGCCCCCAGCCCTCTGGGTTTCCCAGGGTAATAAATGCTGCAGCAGATCACAGGGTGTTTCACTTTCCCATGCAGGGACTGTTAGGTGTGTGAAGGTGCCTGTCTGTCCAGCTCCTGAGTTTGCGGACTTAGAAATGAGCGGTCGCCTTAGCCCTAAATCCTTAAACTTCATCATTATTGCTTTATGAGTTGAAGGCGGAAGAGGCATATCTGAATTCCTACCTGCTGGGCGGTTCAGTCTGTCCTGCCTTCTTAGCAGGTGGCCGGACCTCCCTCAGCCTTCTGGGAAAGGCTGGCTTCTGCCCTCTCTTCTCCCTTCTTGACCTGCTCAGATCTCAGCCTGACAGTGTCCTAGGGCATCCGTGCCCTTAACTTCATGACTGTCTGGAGCAAGGTTGCTTGCTGATTGGCAAATATTTGTGGTTCAAACCTTCATAGGTCTTAAAAAGCTCTGATACCCAATTCAACGAACATGATACATGTAATAAACCATGGAGAAAGGACTGGGGGAAGCCCCACATCTGTTTTTTTTTTTTTTAAAGATTTGTTTTTATGTTGATGAATGTCTTGCCTACATGCATGTCTGTGAATTATATGTATGCCTGGTGCTTGTGGTGTGGGGTCAGAAGAAGGTGTTGGGTTCACTGCTGAGCTATCTCCATTCTGGGGACTGGTTTTGTTTAGTTTTTTGTTTGTTTGTTTTGGTTTTGTTTTTTTCTGAGATGGGTTCTCTGTGTAGCTCTGGCTATCCTAGAACTCGCTCTGTAGACCAGGCTGGCCTCAAGCTCACAGAGATCCGCCTACCTCTGCCTCTTGAGTGCTGGTAATAAAGGCATGTGCCACCATCGCCTGGCTCGTAATTGGTTTTTAAGTGTGATAGTTATCATCATCTGAGTATTTCTTAAAGAGGGGGAAGCTGCTTTTCCTTATTGGGAAATCAATGTCACATAGAAATCTGGCAACTGGCTTCTCCTGAGACATCGGCCTGTCAGCCAAGGACCTGCACTCCTTCCTGTTGCTAAGAAGTGCTGTTCTGAGGAGCTGGCTGGGGTCCCTTCTAGTTCACCCACTCATCTTTTTCTCCATAAGACCCCTTGGGCTTCAGAGTCATGATCTCAAGTCAGATCTAATCCTTATATTTTCTGTATAAGAAGATCGAGGCCCAGGAGCCAGAGCCGTGTCTAGCAAGCTGCTTCCGAGCTAGGACTTGAGTCCAGGCTTCTCTTCCCTCCTTTGTGGTGCTGGGCTCTGGTCTCAGAATCCTCTGTGCTCCACATGGGCAGATGAGAGGATGTAGATAGCCGAGTCTGGGTCTGCAGCAAGCGCAGCTTGCAGGGTTCAGAAGACCTGTGCTCCCACTCCAGGGCCCTGCCCTTCCATGGGCTCTGCAGAGCTAAATGCTGCCTAGGTGATCTGAGCCTGGGACCTACTTGCTGTATACATGCATCTTCCTCCCTATCCAGGAGCTGTATGCGGCTGGGGAGAACCGCCTAGGAACAGATGAGTCCAAGTTCAATGCAATTCTGTGCTCGAGGAGCCGGGCGCACCTGGTGGCAGGTAAGACAGCCCTGGGTCATCCAGGGGAGGGCAGACAGGACAGTACATGGAGAAAAAGCCTACAGAATATTCGGCTGGTGTCTCTGCATGGATTTTTCACTAAAAGACACTGAGAACATTTCCTGCAAACTTTGCTTGTAGGACAAAGGAAAAGACGAGGAAGTGGGTTGCCGTGCACTGAAATGAGGGATGTCAGTGTGGGGAAAGCAGTGGTCCAGCAGGCAGAAGCACAGTTCTCCTCTGACCTTCACACACAGGGCATGTGCCTTTCCCCTCAGTAGCAACAAATAAACACAAAACAAAAAGAAAAAACATTCCCGCACTGCTGGGTAACATTTACTTATTGAATATGTAAAAGTAGGTTTCTATCAGGTGTAGTCTGTTTTCATGGGTTCAGCTTCATGTCAGGAGACAAGTATTCAGTACAGCCTGGAACAGAAAAAGAACGGACTGGAACCAGGTAGAAGGTGAAGGGATAGAGTTCAGGGAGGGTTGGATCAGTCCTCTCTGGTATAAGACTGTGAGATTCAAAGTCCTGAGCAAGATAGGTGCAAGGATTTTCCAGCATGGCCCAGGAACAGCCAAGGGGCTTCGCGTATCTGGAGCAGATAGAATGATGGTAGCAGGAGGCAGGACAGCTCTGCTGACAGTTCAGGGAGTTAGGAGTTCATCCTGAGAAGGCCAGGAGTCACAGGGGCGCCCCCAGCTTGCAGACGACAACATGCTGCCAGATTCCCTAGGTGACCTTGGGCATCAGGTGTGAAGAAAAGAAGGTGAAGGATTCACAGTTGAGCAGGAGACGGTGGTAGCCTGGATAGAGAGTTGGGGTAGAAGGGACTAGAGTCCAGCCTGCTTGTGGGTAAGCTGGACATGGTGTATTGGAGTCAGGCGGCCTAGGAGGACGAGGATTCCATCAGCTGAGCAAGTGGGAAGGCAGTGGCCCTCAGGCTGAGATTAGGAGCTGTGGGTGGAATAGAACAAAGGACATCAGAAAGGTAATGCTGATGAGCTGATGAGCCCAGATGTCAGGAGAGGTCTTGGGCTTGGAAGGTTGGGGGCTGTGGGGGCTCAAGTATCTGAGGCCTTGGGATTATGAGAAGGTCTTTTTGGGAGGAAGACTAGAGAGAGGCCCTGCCAACAGACAGGTGAAGGATCAGCAGAGTATAGGACAGCTAAGGGTTGTAGGAGCTGCAGGCGGGGGGGAGGGGGGGGAGAGGTAAGGATCATAGCACTGCAGTTTGTGTCCCAGGGCCTTCCACCTGGACACACAGGACGGGAGAGGTGTTCCCTCAGTCTCAGGGTTGGCACGAGGCTAATGAGTGAGTTTGTTAAGTTTGGGCTTAGGGCATGCCTTTTTTTTTTTTTAAGACAGGGTTTCTCTGTATGGCTTTGGAGCCTATCCTGGAACTCGCTCTGTAGACCAGGCTGTCCTCACACCTATAGAGATCCATCTGCCTGCCTCTGCCTCCCCGAGTGCTGGAATTAAAGGTGTTGCCCGGCTCAGGGCATGCTGTAATGGAGTGTGGATGAACACAGATGTATTCAATCAACACGTATTTGTTGTCTTTTTTATTGTTTGAGGATTTCATATTCTCATGTAATATGTTTTGATCAAGTTGACCTCTATCCCCTCCCCTATCCATGCTCTACTTTTTCTTCCCAAGTTTATGTGCTCTCTTTTGTTTGTTTTGGTTTTTGAAACAGCGTCTCTAGGTAACCCTGGCTGGCCTGAAACTGGCTGTGTAGACCAGGCTGGCCTCAAACTGGCTGTGTAGATCAGGCTGGCCTCAAACTGGCTGTGTAGACCAGGCTGGCCTCAAACTGGCTGTGTAGACCAGGCTGGCCTCAAACTCTGATCTGCTTGCTCTGCTTTCTGAGAGCTGGAATTAAAGGCATGTGCCACCACACCCAGCTATGTTATTCTCTCTCTCTCTCTCTCTCTCTCTCTCTCTCTCTCTCTCTCTCTCTCTCTCTCTCTCTCTCTCTCTCTCTCTCTCTCTCTCTCTCTCCTATACCACGTAGCGGCACCAGTACATTGTTATGTCCATTGATGTAGTGCCCTCTACTGGAGCACGGGCAGCTTCTCAGAGGCCACATTCTTAAACCTGACCCCCTCCAGCATCCGTCAGTGCTCTAGCGTTGCTTCTTCTTGTAGGAGGCAGCTTGTTCCGTGGCACTCAACAGCTCTTGGGTTTATAATGAAGGGTTTTCAGCTTGACAGAAAACAGCTCTTGGGTTGTTGTGTCTGAGTGGGTCATGGCTCACAGTGGGGTAGAGCAGGCTGGGAATGTGGAGATTTGCAGAAGAGAACAGAGAGAGGGTGTCAAGATGGGTAAGCAGACCGACTGCCCTGATAGCATAAAACTTAAGGCAGAGGGTGTGGCTTCCTGTGAGCTGCTCTAGAGCAGACCCAGGGCAGAGGTGAAGGAGGCAGGACTTCTCGTGCGACAGTACTGGGCTGGGCCTAAGCAACGAGAATATATTTTCTTAGAGTTTTGGATGCCAGTAAGCTTGTCAGGGTTGTTTTCTTCTGAGGCTTCTCTCTCTGGGTGAGTCTCTTGTTCCTGTGTCCCTAGATGGTCTCCTCCTACATCGATGTTCATAGTTTGTGATGACATGCTGTCCAACAAGCTCCTGTGTAAATATCATTGTCAAAAAATGCACTAGGTAGTGACATGTGTAGTCCTAGCTACCTGAGAGGCTGAGACGGGGGTCCCTTAAAGCCAGAGGGTTTATATGATATGACCCCATCACACACAAAAAACAGAAATGCATTTATTATGGCAGTGTAGTGAAAGGCGTAGGTCGGCCCTGTGTGACTTAAATAGACTCAAAACACATTGACATACAGGAGCGTGGAGTCCTCTGCCACAGATCCTTGTTGGTTACAAAGTCCATAGTACTTAGTGGGACTTGGAGAGAGCTGTGGTTGTGTGTGAAAAGTAAAAGGCAAAGGCCCTAAGTCAAGCCATCTCAGACCGAGATTTGTTGGTCCACACACATACCTGACTCGTTTGTGGATGCCACCGATTAGCTAGGCTCAGGTCCTGCCATCATGGCGTTTATCCTGGGGTGCTGAGGGTCAGGACTGCAACATGGAAATTTGAGAGAACATGATTCAGAATATGGCATGTTCCTTCTACTTTCCTCCTAGTTTTCAACGAGTATCAGAGGATGACGGGCCGAGACATTGAGAAGAGCATCTGCCGGGAGATGTCTGGGGACCTGGAGCAGGGCATGCTGGCTGTGGGTAGGTGTCTGGAGCTTCGTTTGCCTGCCCGCCCGCCCACTGGGTGCTCAGTGTCCTGTGGTCGAAGGTGGTGTAGTGAGAGAACCACAGAATCTGAGCTCGCTAATCCGAACCATCTGTCTGGTGGGAACCCATGAGTCCCCGGCCTCTGGGACAGAGGCCTCTGTGTTTGCAGTGCTGCTCTGTAGACCGGAGCTACAGTGTGGGCATTAGTGGGGGCCTGTCCAACTGCTCTCCTGGAGGAAGGTGACTCATATCCTGCCAAGTTTCCTCCAAAAATACGTCCGTGCAGGCAATTGTCAGCTGTCTGTGATAGAAACACATGGAAAGATTTTTTTTTTTTTTTTTTACTTGCAACAGCAAAACAGGGCCTGTTGTAGGGAATGCTGGCCGAGCTTCCAGCGTGGGGAGTGCCTCTCACGGCGCTGTGCCCTCTACAGCAGATCTTGAAGGCTCTGGGAACCTCCCCCTAATGTGGAGTTGGGTTCTTGCCCATCAGCCCTCGCCACCTCTCTTTATACTCGCCAGGAGACATCAGTTTGCCCATTTCTTTTAGTATGTTTTTCTTGGCTCTTTCTGACTAGAACAGGCAATAGACCCTCATTTCCCTGCATGGTCTGAGAAAAACACCACATCCCCTTAGCCTTCCTTTTTTTTCCATGAGGGTCTTTCTGTTTGACCCCCCTCATGCCTAGGCACCCATGAAGTTGGTGCCTCTTTTCATCATTAAGCCCCCACTCTGCCCAGTCCCGGTGGTTTTTGCCCAGTGATGCCAAGAAAGGGGTTAGGTTGATGGTCCTAGTTCGTGTGGAGCCATATTCACGGGGTCAGAGCCAGCAGGAAAGAGAAGTAGGTAGGTTGTGCCAGATTTGATGTCCAGTGTGTGCCCTCCTGGGTCCTGCAGACCTCATACTGTGTTCCTCTTGTAGTGAAATGCCTGAAGAACACCCCTGCCTTCTTTGCTGAAAGACTCAACAAGGCTATGCGGGTATGTAGCGCTTGTGTCTAGGGGTCCCTGATCTAAGACACATCTTGGAGTATTCTGGGTCTAAGGGGTTCACAGGGGGCTGAGTGTAGAAGATTCGTGGGAGGGACTGGGGCCTCGGAAAGTGGGAGGGTGGGAAGCCCCATTGCGTACTCTTACCTGTGTGACTCTTCAGGGTGCAGGAACAAAAGACCGGACTCTGATTCGCATCATGGTGTCTCGAAGCGAGATTGACCTCCTGGATATCCGAGCAGAGTATAAGCGGATGTATGGCAAGTCACTGTACCACGATATCACGGTACGGGCTCGGGGGCCAACAAGGCCCTCCCTGTCTCCTTCCCTTCTCCCTGTGTTTGGCCTACTGGGCTTCTTCAGCCAGTCACCTCCAAACAGATCACAAGATCCTAAGGAAAGGGCAGGTCACAACCCTGTGACCCCATGTTTCTACCCTCTAGGACCCCAGTTCTTAATAACTGGACAGACTTGTCTGCCAGTGGCATAGAGAAATCTCAGGCCTTACTTCTTCCTGTCCCTAACCTTCAGAATCCCTACCACTCTGTGAAGGTTTGGTCCACCAAGGAGAGCTCATATCTGTGAAGCTCAGCTCTTGTTTGCTGATTGTAGCTTTGTCCCATTCACTTTACAGTGGAGACCACATAGGTAGCTCAGCCCTTGGGTCAGCCTAGGGGTCTGATCCTGGCTGTTCTTACTTGGTTAACCTCATGAACCTGAACATTGTCTGCACACCACCCAAGCGATGAACCAGCATCTTTAAGGATAATAGTTCCTCCACAGGTGGTGGTGGCAGTCTCCACAAATGCTGGAGGAAACACTGTGTGCCTGATTTCAGACTTGGCATTTGATGTCGTTGGGTTTGCTGATCTCCATCCCTGTGCTGTGGGATTGAGGCTGTGGGTAGGGGAGAACTTGTCATTACTGTCAGATTGTGGCCAGGGTACTAGTAGGCTCTGACAGCTAAAGAAGCCACAGACCTTGCCTTCAGAGAGCTTAGGGTGGCAGAAAGTGGTCTGAAATTAGCTAAGCCTGAGCAACAACACTGGTGGAGAAGGCACAGTGGTATTGGGCAGATTGGGTGTGACAATAGTGGTGTCACCATGGGTGTTCACAAAGATGATGTCCCCAAGGACACAGCATTGCTTTACAGTAGAGCCCCAGTGTGGCTGCTCTAGGGAAAGAGCATGCTGAGGAGCCTGGGTGGTGGTCCTTACCGATTAAAATGAGCCCTGGGTGGTGGTCCTTAGGCCGATTAAAATGCTCTGGGTGTTTATTTGACTTCAGTAATAGATGAGTGATACTGTGGATATGCATGTGTGCGCACACACACATACATGTGGAGGTGGGGTCAGCACTGAGCATCATTTCTCAGGAGCTACATAAATGCTGGGGGTTTGTTTGTTTGTTTTGAGGGTCTCACTGGGACCTGAGGGATCTGCCTGTCTCCACCTACCTGGTGCAGGGATTACAAACATATGCCATCATGCCTGGCTTTTGGCTTTCATTTTACATAGAATGTGGGGGTCACTGGATATAACTTGTTCGAGTGAGGACAGGCCTGCCTCTCCACGAGGACACTTGGGCCTTCTGGTGGCTTTGCCTCCCTTAACTTTCACTCTTGTTTCTGCCACCAGGGAGACACTTCTGGGGACTATAGGAAGATTCTGCTGAAGATCTGCGGTGGCAACGACTGAGCAGTGACAGTGGCTCTCCTCTGCCTCCTGCTGGCATTGGCAGGGAAAGGCCCACAGAGTGTCCTTAAGTTTTTCATATTCTATCCAGTATCCCCAGACACACCATTTCTCCCCTTTCCTTCTGGTCCCTCCTCATCCACATACTGTGCCGAAAGGGCCCAGCTGGGCCGGAGTTCTCAGGCAGCCATCTCCCTGGCCCTCACAGCCTTTTGCTGTTCAGAATAGATGTTTTTGCTCTCCTGGCTCCTGCAGTCATTCCTCATCGCTGTGGCTTTGTTGTAGACATGTGATTTTGTATTTTTATTGCTAAGCTTTTTTTAAACCATCTTTGCCAGGCAGATGCATACGAGTGAGTTTACTATATACATGTTTCTGAGGAGTGGTCAGTGGGTGGACATCCCCGTCCTTGCTGGAGAAAGGGAGGTCTTGTCAGGGTACTACTGTGTTTGATAAGAATGTGTCATGAGTTTTGTTTTTGCCAAATTCACTCCTTTTTTTTTTATTTAGAAAAAGGCCAAGAAATCATTTGTTCCATCTTCCATGCAAAACTGTGCGAGAATAAAGCCAGTCCCCTGCGAGTGACTGGGACCCTTGTAGTTTGTACTGTGCCTTAAACCTGAACATCTGTAGCCAAAAGCTGTTTCCAAATTAAAGTCAGCCAGCTCTGGAACATTCTGGAAATAACTCTGCTGGTGCCAGCTTGTTTTCTTCCGCTTTATGACTCAGAGATTCCGGCCCTGTTAGCTAGTGCAAATGGATGTGTTGAACTAGAAACATACACTGGAAATCTCAGGCATAAGCTACTGGCAGGGATTGCGTTTGAAGGACTTGCAAAAGATGCTCTCCAGATCCACACAAGACACAGATGGAGGTGGTAGAGTTAGTTCCCTGAGTGAGGTGGAAAGAATGCCTGGTCACCTAGGTCCTGGGGTGGTCTCAGGGAGACTAGTGATGAGGACAGGAACAACCCAGGGAGGTGCCCCAGCCTTATGTTCCCTTGGAAACGCCAGTCAGAAGGGCACTTGGCTCCAACCCTGCAGGTTCTCTGCTCGTTGGTGTTCAGAGAAGGGAACTAGCAGAGATAATTTCTGGGATTCTTTGTCATATCCAGGAGCATGGAGTTTTCCGCTTGCTGACTGGAGGTCTCCCCTCACTTCCCCTGTGTTAGAAAGCTTGGGATAATGACACTCCAGAAAGACAAGTGTCTCTCTGGACTCCTGGACCCTGGCTAGAACCCCAGAGAAGCCTCAGCTGAGTGGCAGCTGCTGGGGTACCAATCCTTGCTTCTCCCCCACAGTGGGAGGAAGAATGACAAAGTGTCTGAGCTAAGCACCAGGGTTGTGAATTGCATTAATCGCCCAAATGTGCACACACCCTAAAGACCCATGAACAGACGGGTGATACGATGGAGCATTATTTAGCCATGCAAAGGACTGACACGTTCTGCAATGTCCAGTGAAAATCTGACTCCACTCGCAGAAGCTGCCCACAGGAGGCAAGTCCAGGCAGGTAAAAGGTTTCTAGTGTGCTGAGAGTGGGGAGAGGTGGAAGGGGAAGTGAGTTCTGGGGTGCTGAAAATGACCTGGAATTAATGGTGATGACTTTGTCACCCAGTGAGCACTAGGAAGCACAGAATTGGTGCCGGTGACAAGGGCAAGTTTTGCTGGGTGTAAAAAGAGGCTGGAAGTATGTTTGGATTCCCAGTCAGGGAACAGGATTCTTAATGGGCACACAACCTGTCACCACTAGAAGGGCAGAGTAGGGGATCACATGAAAACAGAGATTCTGATGTGGGGGGTGGCTGGATGGGACCCAGATGATCGTGTATCTCTGGGTGGCACTACTGATGTTTTGTGGCCACCGTTTGAAGAGCAGTGCTGCATAAAGGGTCTTCTGTGTCCTGTTACCATCCTGGGCCTCAGCTGCCTCACTTAGTGTGAATCCGTTTCTGTGGTTTGTTCCTATAAAGATGGCCAGGTTATCCAGGTCTGTGGGCCGGAACAGCATGTGGGGTTCAGGGTGTATGACAGGAGTCAGAACTGTGGTTACAGAGGTCATTGTTAGCAATCATGGGCCCCGAGGAGTAGCATTTATTTCACACAGAGGTGGGGCAGGAAGGCAAGAAGCCTGACTTGGTTCTTCAGTTGCCAGGTTCCACTACCCCTGATGGTCAGAAGTGTTCTGCAAGAAAAGAGGGTGCCCTGAGTGAGCAGCAGAGGATGCTGTGCCCAACAACTTCCTCCCTCCAGCTTCCCAGTCCCTCGGGATAATGGTACCAAAACACAGGACTCAAGAAAGAATCTGGGGGCTGCTCAGAGCATCAGTAGGATGCCAGGGCCCAGGGTGACAATAGACAGAGGAGTACAACCAAGAATACTTGAAGACGGATGGTGTACTACCCATTCTGTCCCTGGGGGTGCATAGCATCCCCTGAGTTCTGGCTCCACCAGTGTGATGGAGCTGCCAGTGGCCCTAGAGGACAGACCCAGCAGGTGTCCCTCTGCCATCTGAGCCACTCACCACCTCCTAGCAGGTCCGGTTCTGGGCTGAAGGGCCCTGGGGGTAGATTCGAAGCCAGTTCCTCCAGCAGGCCCAGGAGGCCCGTCACTTCCGCCTCCAGGTGCTCCACTGTCTTCTCCACTGTCTGCAGTGGGAGGACGGGGCAAAGTCAAGCACAGGGGTTTGGGCCACCTTTAGCTTAGTGATATCCTGAAGAAATTCCACTGTGCCCCAGGTCACAGTGGAATGCAGTGGAGAGGGAACTGGGTGCTGGGGAATCCTGGCCCTCACCCCTTCAGCCTCTGAAGGACCCCCTGCCCTGGCATGCAAAGGGAACACCTTTTTCTTTGTTTGGGACTTGGCAGCAATAGTGCACATTCCTTTTGTCACACTGCCCCCTCGTGGCACCTTCATTACAAGACAGTTTTCCTAGGGATTGCTTAAAAGGATGTGTGTTGCTGCAGGTCCTGCTGGCAACCTAATAAAAGTTCTTTTCCTCCCCCCGGGAGACAGTTTCTCTGTGTAGCCTTGGCTCTGTAGACCATGCTGGCCTCGAACTCATAGAGATCCACCTGCCTCTGCCTCTGCCTCCAGAGTGCTGGATTGAAGGCCTGCACCACTACTGCCCGACTTCAGAACAGAATATCAAGTACATTACAATAGCATTCAAAGGTTAAAAACTACATATTATTTTGATGGTTGATGTTTGTAATGTCAAAAGTCAGTAGACTGAGACAGGAGGATCACCACAAGTTCCAGGCCAGCTTGGGGTACAGAGTATGGTTTGTCTCTCTAGTAATTGTTTTATCATTATGGGAGTAAGGGAGCAGAAATGCCAGATGTCAGTCTCAGGAGCGGTGCAGTGTGTGTGTGTGTGTGTGTGTGTGTGTGTGTGTGTGTGTGTGTGTGTGTGTGTGTGTGTGTAGAGGCATACTCACTATGGGAGTGCGTAGAGGTCCGTTCTCTCTCCACTTTGAAAATTTTGAAAATTCTGGGGATTAGGCGAGGCAATAGTGACAGGAAGATCTCTGAGTTGGAAGCCAGCCTGGTCTAAAGAGCCAGTGCCAGTTCCAGGACAGCCAAAGCTACACAGAGAAACTCTGTCTCAAAAAACAAAAACAAAACAAAAAAAAAGGGGGGGAGGAGGCCTGGGGCTCGGACTTGGGTCATCAGGCCTGATGACCAGCACCTGGTCAGCTTCTGCACAGGCCTCACCTTGGCCTGGAGGCAGGAGCTCTTCCTTGCAATGATTAGATTAGGTTGATTGGCTAGCGAGCCCCAGAGACCCTCCTGTCTCTTCCTCTCCCTCCGGTGCCGGCATGCCACTATGTCTCACTTTTTTTGTGGGTCCTGGCGATGAAACCTGGGTCCTCATGCTTACATGGCAGGTGCTGTACAAACTGAGTTATCCCCCACAAAAAGCAAAATTTCAATATCTTAGGATATGTACTTATTAACTCACTAAGAAACAGTCTACCATCAGGCCCAGTGATTGCTGCCATCCTGACAAGACCAGGGCGTATAGGGACACGCTGAAGCGGGGTGTGTGTGTGTGTGGGGGGGGTCCGTGCCTGTAGTCCTAGCGCTCAAGGGCAGAGCCAGGACGACTGCCATGAGTTTCAGGCCAGACTGCTTTAATAGTGAGTTCTAAACCAGCCATGGCTACATGGTAAGACCCTGTGTCACCAAATAAAATTAATAATAATATTTTTTTTAAAAAGGCAGGCAATATGATTCAGCAGGTCAAGGCACCTGCCACAAACTAACATGTAAGTTAAATCCCTGGGACACACATGACGAAAGGAAAGTAGTATGGGAAGTCCTGTGTATGTGTTGCTTTTATTGGTTAATGAATAAAGCCGTTTAGGCCAGTGGCTTAGCAGAATAGAGTAAGGGAGGAATTCCAAGCAGAGATAGAGGAGAAAGTAGGTGGAATCAGTGAGAAGCCATGTAGCTGCTGCAGGAGACAGATGCTTCTGCTGAAGCCTGCCAAAACTTTGCCGGTAGGCTACAACCTCGTGGTGATGCACAGATTAATGGAGATGGGTTAGTTTAGGATATAAGACCTAGCTATAAATATGCTAAAACTATTGGCCAAACAGTATTGCAATTAATATAGTTTCTCTGTGTTTATTTCTGGTCTGAGCGGCTGGGAAATAAATGAGTATGCCTCCGACTACAGGAAAGAATTTAAAAGTTTCCAGGAATGAAGATAAAACTTTCCCCCACATAAATTTATGAACTCCAACTTATGGTTCATGGTTATTCCACAAAATTTGATGGTGGAACTTATACCTTCTCCATCTTGGAAAAAATCTCAGGCTGGGTGTAAGCGATGCTTCCTGAGAGGTAGGGTGTGTAACACATCGCTCAGCCGAACATCCTAGTTAGAGCGGCTGAGAAACAGGCACTGGCCTGCGTGTCCTGACGATCGTACTGCACAAAGGCTGGCAGATGGCCATGAAGTTCACAGTCCCTTCCTCCCATGCCCTCATTACCTCTTCCATGATGTCTAAACGGCCTTGGATAGCCACATGTCTGTCACAGCCTGGGCTCCAGGCTAGATCTTCTCTGGAGGAACCAGGGGACTCAGCAGCTGTAGAGAAAATAAGCCTTGTCACTGAGGGGCCATTGGTTTCCTTGTGGCACTAGAGAGTCCTGTACAACACCAGGCTTGAGTGACGTGGGTGCTGAAGTCAGACACAAGGACATGCAGAGGGAGGATGAAGTTGACCCGCCACCCTAACTACTGTCTCCAGAACCAGGAGGGCGCCATCAAGTAGGCAGTGTTTAGGCTGGGTAAAGTCAAGACAGGGAATGTTTGGCTGCTCGCAAAGACATGGAGAGATATAAGTCTTCCTTGGACAAACCATCCAGGGAACTGGAATGCCTGCAAAGAACCAGGTGGGTGGGCGATTCGACCAGCACAGGGTCTTGGGATCAAAACCAAGGGTAGCACATGGACCCAAGGCCTCCATGAGCCTCCGTGAATATTTGGAGGGAGTGCTTTGAATTTCAGATCTAGAGAATGTGGAGGGGTGCAACTTTAGAGGAAGGCAGTGACGACAGGAATCCATGTTTGAAGGAATAAGTCAGACAGTATCAGGTAGAATCCAGGGAGGAGACTGAGCGGCCTCGGTACTGGGAACCAGTCAGTCTGAGCTGCTGTACACCATGTGGCATGC